AATTACTTGTAAAACTGTGTGTTTCCACTTAACAGTCCAGTAGAATATCTAATGGCTAATCCACCACTCAAGGAAAATTTACCATCTGCCAAGATAAACGTGCCAGAACTTGAATGCAGGAGTTCTTGGGAAATCTGTAGAATTGCAGAGCTTTATGGCAAAGTTATCTTCAGCCTGTGATACCCTGTCTTTCTTTCTGGTCCGTACGAGCTATAATCTAAGGCAATGAAAGAGCCTTTGTTTCATTCAGTGTAAAGCTAGCATTTCTAAAACCATCCAAGAAACTAGCTGTTCTCATCAAAAAATGTTCTAGACTTGTCACAAATTATCCCAGACCAGAGGCCCTGGTGAGATCTGTTACCTTTAACCACCCTCAACCCCCACGCAGCAAGCCTGTATCCCAACTAAATAGAAATACAGTTACATCTGGCATTTATCTTAGAACTATTTGAAGCCTTCTGCTCTATCACACACCACGAAAGCGTTAATTTTTAAAAATCTTTTAAAGCAAAGAAAAACCTAGACCATTTGAAATCTCCAATTAAAGTCCAAATAGAAATAAATACACGTATTTGACAGCTGATCTGGGTCAGAAAATACATTGACTCTACCTGACTTCCATCAAGTAATGAGCAAAGAGCTGTTCCAGCTGCCACATTCAATGCCTGAAATATTTGGCTTTATGCACTGGTTAGAGTTTTAATCAAATGATAAGACAAGGCATACCATTCTTCTGCCATTCTTCTATGGTAATCTACACCCAGACTTCCATCTCTCTCTCTCTCACACACACACACACACGCACACGTACACACACACACACACACTATACATAACTGTTGCTTTGGGTATAGTTTTTTCTAGGAATTACATGGTAACCCAGTTTAAAATGATGTGTCTATAAGGATGGCCATCATCTATCCACATTTTCTTTTCTCCTGTCCTTCCATTTCTACCATTCCATTCCTCCTTGGTCTTTATGAGATTTATCACTAGGCCATAAAGATATCATAATCCTGGAGTAGAAGGGTGAAGTCATCAATTGTAACAGTTCCTAGCACATTCCTACTCACAGCAATATTAATCATCCTAAAACTCCATCTCTAACAATAGACCCTAGAAGCTGGGTACTATCCTCAGTCCTTAGGCCAACAAGTTGGCGAGTGCAAATTGCAAAGAGTCTGTAGTTTCTGCTCAGGAAATCTCTTCTGCTTTTCTACACAAGCCCAACTCTTCCCAAATTCCATTATCCTCTTCAGGTTATGTTAACACTTCAGCAGTAACAACAAAAAAGGACTATGCTAGAAAAGAAAAAGAAGGCAAAAGAAAACAAAAGAGAAGATGAGGGGGAAATTGTAAAAATCAATAATAATTGTGAATAAAATTTAAAATTAGCTCTGAAAAACTAAAGAATAAAAACATTGAAAAAAGCTAACCATACTTTTGCCAAGATGATAAATCCCACATTCTGAATTAATATGAGGGTGTATGGTTAAAGGAAAGAGAGGAGAATGGCCAAAAACAGTTTTAAAGTATAAGAAAGTAAAAACTAAAGAAAAGGTGAAATCTAAAATATGAAAAGAGCCAAAATGTCACATAATAGGAAGGAGATTTGGAGAAAGTTTGAATAAAGGTCATATATTTGTATTATCCTTCACAAATCCGACACACTATAATTTTAAGAGTATAAAATGTAATATATGATTTTTAATTATCAAAATAATCATGTTTGGCACATGACTAAAAAGTATAGTTGTCTCGGGTGGCACCTGTGGCTCAGAGGAGTAGAGCGCCAATCCCATAT